CTGCTCTGCTCATCTCCTTTTCCTGATTTTAAAGAAAATTTCAAGCAATGGTTTTTTCAAGTGTTAAATTGTCAGAACATTTTCCACAGTTGGTGTATGGTTTCCCTAATGAGAAAGGGCAATATGCAAAACTCCTTAAAGTTACATGGCTATTGAAGTTTAATGTCATTAGATCAATCTGTACAATCACTGCAAGGCAGTGTTTCAGAAATATGAAAGTTTATTAGAAACATGATGGGAAAAGAAAGAAAGCATGAGGGAGCAAACAAAGGTTTCTGATTTTATTGGAAAAGTGAAGAAATCAAAATGGCAAAGGGCTAGACTAATAGCAGGAACAATGATTCTATGTGGAGACTAGATCATTTTTGTGTGAGCAACGCTGCACTGTGGACTTGTGGACCATTACTCCGCTGTCGGCTATACTTTTCTGCAGGTCCCTTGTGTGATATGTGGGTTCTGCTTTGCATACCTGACCAGTTTACCAGTTACGAGCAGTTCTATCACACATATTTCTGGGTCTTCCAGATCTTGCTTTGACTTCAACAGTTCCCCTTAACTTTAATTTCTTAATGATGTTTCTGACAGTGAAAAGTCCAAGCTGGAAACATTTAGATATCTTTTTTTATAGTCTCCCCTTGCTTTGTTCAAGTCCTCAGTGGCTTAAGAGGCCCATGTTTGTTGAGAGCAGGAACAGCATCCTGAGAGGTTGGGAGAATCAGAGTATTTATTCAGCTCTGAATAGTCTTCACCTGGCTTAATTTAAAGCCTAATGAGTCAATGAAGTTTTGAGGTCTTAAAAAAGTACTAATGAATCCACTGGACTTCTGGATTCTGGATTGTGGGTTTTGCATATGCCACATTCACTGTTTTATTTTTTTCCAATCTGTTAAATTCAGCAAATTAAAACCGTAATTGTGCATTCAAATGTGCAGAAATATGTCATGTTTAAGTTTGTGCCCTGCAGAGGTTGTGTTAACTTCTTTTTGCTTAGAGATTCTGTGAGACATGCAGTTTGACCAGGGGTACCCAATCTTTTACATACACTGTAATTTATAAATCAATTTACCTCATAATTTGTATGGTTTATAAGTTAACTGACCTATTGAAACAAATATCTTGTATACAAACTGTACACTGAAGATCAGTGACACCTGCTACACATAGATAAAGGGGACATTGAGGATAACCTCGACAACAGTGCACTGCCAGATCAATGGGATTGGGTTTTGTGTCCATAGTAGTTTTCACGTCTTCTAATGGGCACTACTTACAGTACTGTATATAAGTACTTTCAAGTATGTTCTGTAATGGTCAGCTGAAGTTAATAATCAACCTTTATTTTAGTTAGACTGGTTTTCAAATCTGGTCTTGTGCACCTGTCAGGGGATGTTCCAACGGGAAGCTGTGGGATGTTTATGGAGGAAGTGGGAAGTAGAGATACAACATGAACTGCTGTGGTATTCCTGTTACTGCATCTGCTATTCCAGTTATGCCAGCAATAACTGTTTCTTGCTGCCTAGAGATTTTGATCCACATGCTTCGAGTCTCATTGTGGGATTTTTTAGCCAAACTAAATCTACAAGGAGCCATTATGCAGCACTTAAGAGTGAGTCACTGGCTTAGGTTTGCATGGGCATGGATAGCTGGAACTGTTTTTTAACTTAATGCTGACAAGCCTTAATTGATCTCTCCACTCTAGCACTACTGTATTGTTTGTGCAGTAAGTTATGTCAACATGCTTCGTCTTGCATGAAGACAGGATTTGCTTTTTCAAAATTACTGTTTGTTCCTGACAGAAAATTAAATAGAAGGCAGAATTACAGTAAGAAAATAGATTTAAACTTTAATTCCAGTGGGCAAAAGCATTTACAGTCATGTGGTGCCTCCTGATTTAGCATACAGTATTATCTACAATAAACATACTGTATATATTATATATCCATTCATTTTTTAACCACTTCTTCCAATTCAGGGTCGTGGAGAATCTGGGTCTTATCGTGGCAAGCAACGGGCACAAGGCAGGGTACGCCCAGAACGGGACGCTAGTCCATCACAGGGCACACACTTGCATCTAGAGGCAACTTTCCCAGAACCCAATTAACCTTCCAGTATGTCTTTGGACTGTGGGAGTAAACCAGAGGAAACTCACATGAACATACAAACTCCACATATAGTGCCCTAGGTTCTGCACTGAACCCAGGGCCCCAGCACTGCAAGGCAGCAATGCTAGGCACTGTGCCACCTATTTCATAAATATATTTTGCAGGAAACATACAGAATATAAATTAAACTTAAATGGAATCTTCACTGTTTCATGACTAATGACACATACACTGTACAGTACGTTCAAACTGGGAAAGACAAATTTGTGACATGACTGATAGGAACACCGAATGGGTATTGTGCAGGCAATTCCATTAGCCAAGGTGGTAATGTCTTCTAATATCAGCATCAATACTCTAGGCCAGAGTATTTCTGCAAAGTCGGAAAGTGACGGAATATTAAGAATAGAGGTTTGAAATGCGATTAAAAAAACTCATTTCATAAGCCGTTTATCTTGGTTTATTTTATTCCCGGTTTCAGATAATGTATATGCTAAAGTAAATGTTCGTTCACTCAGAAAGTGAACAGAACCCCAGACTTATTCTTCAAAAGTGAGTCAAATGAACAAAACACTCAGAATATGGAGAAGAAGTGATGAAAGTCCTTGTTAATTACACTGATGTAACACTTTTCATCCTACAGATGTTAATGAAGTGTCAGGATACTGTGAATAGTAGACAGTCACAGATCTCTTTCCTTGTCATGGATTTGAGATTGATTTTCCTCTCGTAAAATACTACACACAAGTATTGTAGCCAGTATATTGCCTGAAATCGTATTAAGCAAAAAGGTTTGCCTTTTAGCTATTTTGCACAATATTTAATAACCGTGTGTCTCTACAAACAAAGCACTTCTGTCAATATGTGTTCACAAGTCCATTTGTACAATGAAGAAGCAACACAAAAATACCAAGATTTATGGTATAAAATGACTTTTTGGGGCATATATTCTAGTGCTTTTTTGGGGTACATGTAAGAATATTGGCTTTGTCCAACAAGTTAATTTAATATTGATTAAATGCATTTCAGTCTTGTGCACTTATGCTGGAGTTTCTTCAGGACTAGTTGACAGCTGACAGACGGGGAGAAATGAGGAGGTTTACTGCAGTCAGCAGAAGCTGTGAGAGAGAACAAGATTCTTCAGCAGGTTTTCTGACTACAGAGCTGGAATGATTCAAAGATTACTTCTCACCGCAGTTTATGTTCACATAAACTGCTGTGTTTGAGAGAGCAATAGATAACATCAAGCAATTCTGCAGACATACACATTTTGTCCATGGATACTGTGACTACCAAGGGCCATTATATTTTGTCAGAAATCTTGTGAAATAAGATATCATAACTCCCACTGGGGCTTATTGAGTACTTTATTTTTATTATTTTTACCTTTTCAGTATGAAATCAACCATTGTTTCTTTATGTCTCAGCTCACAGTAGTGACTCCTCCACTCCATGAGGGTATTTAAATTAGTGTGTGGAATCTTCTGAGTAATATTTTGCCTGCTAAATGGATTAGGACGTCCTTTGTTCCTGACCTCCAGCGATTAGGCTAATGTAATTTTGTGTAGTTGGAACATATGAAAGGTTAAAAACAATTTACATAATCATCTTCCGAACTCCAAGTTCTGTAGATCTATCCATAGACAATATTCAGTACAAATACTAATGAAATCTGTCATACTAAATTTGTAACTTTTCTGGTTTCCTTTTAGAGATGTTGTGCTGACATCTTGTGACTAAAGACTGATACAGATAGCACAAACCCTGAATCTTTCATTGACTTATCTGTCTCTAAACCGACTTGTGTTCTCTCCTACATACTGTATGAAACAATCAAGTGGCTCTGCACTCTGCTCTGCTCGTCAGAATGAAGTTCACTCTCTTCTCCCTATAAGTTGTTACAGATAAAAAAGCCTGCAAAGGAATAGATATTACTGTTATTCTTATACTGTATACTGCCACAACAGTTATAATACTATTCAAATCCTGATCAAGTCACAGGTTGCGGAACTATGTAGGATACTTCCAAAGCTGCAAGCCAGTTAATTTGTTTAGTACTGTTTAAGTAGATATTTGCCCTATGCAATTGCTTGAATTAGCAATGTCCTGGGCTGAAATGCTCATTACTGATATGCAATCTAAGATTTAATTTCATCATTAGTTGAAATTATTACCATCATAAGAAAAACAGTGGAATCATAAGAAAAATACAGATAATATAATAAATGAATTAGTTCATTAAAAAGCTTTGCTGTTTGCCTGGAAGGCAGTCATCATAACTCTATGGCTCAAAGGAGATGATATTAGATGATGATAGATTATTATACAACAATTGTCTCCAAACCCAGTCCTGGAGAGCTGTAGTCCTATAGATTTTATTGGTAACAATTGAATTGCCAATGTCTAAAGGCTTCGAGCACTTTAATTATGATAGTGTCACCAATTAATCGTGATTTGTTACATTTAACAATCTTAATCCTTTGATATTAAACATTTAGTGCCCTTCAATTGTCAAGGACAAGAGTTCTCTTAATTGAATAAATTGCTTGATTAATGGATCACTGGGCTGCCCCCAAGTGTCCCAAAGCTTCAGGAACAGGTTACCTGTAAGACTAACTTAACTGGGCTCTTTGATGTCCTTTTAGACTCCATCTATAAAAGCCTCTCAAGGCCTTTTCGGCTTATTGATTTGCTGAAGCTTGCACTGCACAGTGACTTCAATTAACAATTGGTCTGACTGTGCTCAAATTACAAAAAAGTGCTGAAATGTCTTGAAATACAAAAGTAATTCACACCGGTAAAGTTCCCAAAGAAGAAAGCTGATCCCATAGGACTAAGTGTATCAGTACCTTAAGATTTAAGAGAGGTTAACAATCTTAATTTTTCATTGTATTTCAGATCCAGCGTCAAGTACAGCTCCAGTGGGGAACACAGAGAGCTGTGTTCTGCAGTACTCTAGCACCCTCCAATGGTAGGTTTACCTTATTTTTATAACTAACGTGTTAACTTGTGCCATGAGAAGCTCCAACAGAACGTCCGCCTTGATTCTGCAGATATTTCATCATAAATAATATTCATGAATTTGTTTTCTTTTTAACTGTCCAAGTACTGCATCTCAACTTCAAGACGTTTTTGTTCAACTGAAGCAGACATTTTGTAAATATATCTGTCTACCTCTGTAATACTTTTTATTTATTATTTTATTTATTTCTGGTGTTGTGTGGATTTTTGAAGCAGACATTATCAGATTTAGGTCTCCTGTTAGAGAACATTACAACAATGTACAGTATAATGTCAGAATGTGTTAATCTATTGTTTTCAAGCTATGTATTTCAATTGTGAAATGACAGGTTCTATTTATTTTTGGGGTTATCTCATAATTAATCAGAAGTTAATTAGATACTTCTTTATTTTTTCTTCGCATTATTTTTTTTAAATTGCTCAATGAACAATTAGTTTAGTCATGTTATTCTAATTCAACATATCCGTGAATATTACAGAGCACTCACTAGGGGATGTACTGTAACAATAAGCCTGTTATCTGCCCTCTCTAAGAATCCTATTACATGTGTTAAATCATTAACCAGGTGCTTCAGGCTGAAATTGTCCTCAATTCTTTCGTTCTATCATAGGTAAAAAATGTTCTTCCCTGTTCCTCAATTAAAATCCTTTCACACTTTAACTACTATTTCAGCTTCATTGCACCCCAGATACAGTAGACCTTGTCATATGCTTGATATGTTGAGGCATTTAGGTGAAGTGCCTTAGTTAGCTGTATACAGTACATATAAAACATGAATGAGGCTATTCATATATCCATTTTCTAACCACTTCTTCCAAACTGGCCACGTGGGGGAAACTGAAGCCTGTCCAGTCAAGTAACAGGTGAAAGGCACCTGCACATAGTCCATCACAGGGCACACACACCAGGGCCAGTTTTCCCAGAAGACCTAACCTACCAGTATGTCTTTGGAGTGTGGGAGGAAACGGAGCACCCAGAGGAACCTCACATGAACATGGAGGGGAACATACCATGGGAACCTCCACATGGCACCCCATTCCAGGTCTAGAATTGAACCCTGGGTCTCAGCACTTCCAGGCACAAATACTAACCACTGTGCCACCATGCCACCGTGCCACCCGCCTTTCACATACTGTACTGTATATGCAGAGTGAAATAACTAATGTGGGGCTCTGTCTCTGCCTGTAAGACATCACTGTGGAGCACAGATATGGGCGGCCTGTGGTGGCTCTCCCCCTCCCTTCCAGGAAAGAGCGATGCCGCTTCACACTGCGGCCCCTGCTCATGACCGTGGGGGACTTCGTCCAGGACATTCAAAGGGAGGACAAAGGCGTGACCTCTGTCTCAGTGCTCAGTACAGGTAACACTCCCCCGTGCTCAGACGAGAATTACAGTTTGCATTATACCCATCTCCAACAAAATAACTTGCGGGAAATTTCAGTGTAGTATCATTTCCGTGTGATATACAGCAAAAGTGTCTTTATGAAATAAGAGTCAGGGAAAGAGCCCCAAAATAGATCAGTGGGCATAAAGAGAATGTTTGAGCAGACAGAATGTACAATGCGATGAGTTATCGGAAATTGAGAACATGTTTTTCACATCGTTTTATTCTATGCACTTAAGGGTTCATGTATAATTATGTATGATCTTTTTCTTCTTCTCTATTCAGGATAGAGCCAATTAAAATTGTTTGCTTTCACCAGGCTTCTCATGTAAAGACTATTTTCACTCCTAGACCTGGTGCTTGCCCCTAGATAGATGGAGTCAATTGACTATAATTCTCATTTCCTTCACACTGCTTTGTGTGACCAAATGTAATTGTAGTAGCAGGTTGTTGATGATATAGTCAAGCCTAGAGGTGAAATGTATCTAATCGGGATGATAAGCCCTAAACTGAACAGTAATAACCAATTCTATTATTGTCCACAGACGGAATGAAGATTTCCTCTTCTACGTCTATTGAGAATCTCCTAAGCAAAGACTTCCAGCTCCTTATCAATGATGTCACCTACGATGTGCATTCATCAAACATAGGTAAAACAATTATTTATTAATTTAATCTAGCTATTTTCCGTCATAGATGTACTCAAATTCAATGTTTTTATGAATGCTGCCTACCTCTTAGTTGGAAAAAAAATATTTTTTTATTTTATTTTAGTATATCTGGTAAAGTCCCGATTGCTGGGAACAGTCTGATAAGACTACATTCGTTCAGTGTAGAACACTATTTGGATTCTGACTGCTGTACTGTGTCTTCAGGTTTCAGTTCAAAGACCCCCTCTATACGTTTTCAATATTTGGGAGGAATGGATTGAGATAAAGCTACATTATTGCTTTTCCTGCCTGGTATTCCAGTTTATAACTTCTAGAAACATTTCTTTTTTCTTGTTGTTGTAATTTTTCCCTGGTAAAGAAAGACTTTTCCATTTTGAATTACTGGATGTGAACTGGATAAAAAAAGTTGGTAGCAGTGGTGAACAGGGATGATTCATTTTCCTGTGAGGAACCTCAAGTGACATGCAGTATATTTATAAAAAATGTACTTTAAGTTAAAAAACTTACAAACCTATTACACATTACAGTATATGTGCCTCATCATTTGGAAAAACTAATTTCACTAACCCACAACATATTTTGGTGCTTCTTTATTCTGAAAACATAACATTTTCCTAGCATGTAAATTTCCCCCATGACCCCCCACCCAGCTGCACCCTCCACAAATCTTCCTGCCAAAACACTGAATTGGTAGACGTACAGTGTAATAAAGACCAAAAGCTTACGAATGCTCACAGCATTTTATTACAGAACAGTGGCATACAGTCAAATAAAGCATATTGCTGTTGTGCTAAAAGTGCTTATTAATCTCCATTCCATATTTTAAATTGATAATATACTAAGCAATGTATCGCTAATAATCGACACAAAGGTATAATAAGGCAAATGTTGTTTTATAAGCATATATATTAATTATGATAAATTGTAATCACCAGCATTAATCAACAGGGGGCCTACTGTGAAAGTAATATACTAGTGCTGTGTGTATACTGTATATCTGAAACATAAGCAATACAAGCTGTATATTGTAAATCTTTAATACATGCTTTGCTGCCAGCTGCAAATGCAGTCTCCTGAAACTCTGTACCTTTCCTCTTAAATAGTGTGGACAAACATGTGTCTGTTCACTGGTCTCTTGATGGGATACACCATCCTTGCTCATCTCACAGGTGTTTAAAAGGATTCAAGTTTGTCATCTCCAGAATCTCACTGTTGCATGAGCAGTGTGTGGTGTTGTGTTGGAATGTAGTCTTGTCAGAATGAGCCCACAGGAATGGACGGTACTTGAGGTCCCGGAATTAGATCAGTGTAGCGTTTTGCTGTCCATAAACCTCTACAAGTGGATCACTGCAGTGATCAGGCACTCCAGCTTGGACTCCTTGGTCACATTTAGCCGACATTTAGACTCTGGCTGTTGTGCTTAATTGGTAGATTGTATTACACTCGCCAACGTCCATCAGTGTAGTCCAAGGGTTCTTTTTCTTTCCTGATTATATATGTATTCTGGTCAGCAATGAAGGATAATTATGTCAAAATGATAACAAAACATTTAATTACTATCCAAAATATGTATAACAATCTTCTAAAACATACATACAATAGTGATTTTACTTATATAAAACCTTTGTATTCTTCCTATATTTACATATATAACCATAGTTATATATAGCTTTATTTAATATATACATATATTTACATATGTATGTATATGTACCTGTATATATATACATATACAGTATATAGATATATAGCTGCTGGCTATATCACCCTGCAACTCACAACTGGCAGCCCACTGAAGAGCAGCAGATGTAGAGGCCTGGATAATACCTGCATGGGAGACCTCCTGGGAAAGCTAAGATTGCTGGTGGAAGAGGTGTCAGTGGGGACTGTAGGGGGTGCTCATTCTGCAGTCTGTGTGTCCTAATGCCCCAGTATAATGACAGGGAAACTATTCTCTAAAAAGGCACCGTCTTTCAGATGAGACATAAAACTGAGGTCCTGTCTCTCTGTGGTCATTAAAAATCCCTGGACGTTTTTGACAAGAAAAGGGGTGTTATGGTGTCATTACCAAATTTCCCAGTGGCTTTTAGCAGTCACAGCCTCCTTATAATCCCCATTTATGAACTGGCTGCATCACTCTGTTCTCCTCCTCACTAATAGCTGATGTGTGGTAAGTGTTCTGGCCCACTATGGCTGCCGTTGCATCATCCAGATGGGTGCTGCACATTGGTGGTGGTGGAGGGGAGTCCCCATAACCAAGAGCTTTGAATGGAGTGTCCAGAAAAGCACTATATAAGTGAAAGGATTTATTATTATTATTATTATTATTATTATTATTATTATATAAGTCACATACAGAAATTGGAAAGCCTGTTGTGCAGCTGAATAGCTTTGCAAGTGTCCTGCTAATATGGGACAATGTGTTTTGCTGTGCAGGAAAGGTATCCAGTGAGCAGCTGACACAGCTAGAGGATATGAAGACCCTTGTCCACAGGCTTCACATTGCCCTTCACCTCTCAGAACACCACCTGCTGAAGGAGAAGGAGCTTCTGGAAAAACTGGATGGACTGAAAGAAGAGCTCACTCCTCTGGAGAAGGTACAGTGACTGCTTCTACCTGACATGTTTTAGCAAAAAATAAAAAAATAAAAAATTCTGCTGTGGGGAAAGGCTGCAGTGGGAACAGAATAGACAAGGTACAGGGTGGTAAAAGTAGACTTTAATTAATAGCACAGTATGTTTTATTTTTTGAAGTGTCTATACAGCCTTTGTCTTTTATTTTTTACAGAGCGAAATGCGCAGTTAAAATTAGACAGCATGCGTGTTTTACTAGCGGTAAAGTATGATATGCATAATGTATTTTAATATGTTTTATACACCGTGCTTTGCAAACGTGTTCACTCCCCTTCCACCGATGAATGACATGCATAGATATTTTTGTGAATATTAAAACAAAAACACACCCATATTCATACATCTCACTCACAGGCAGAGGAAACCGAGACAGTAAACAAAAATAACCTTCTTTGCTTAGAAAAGTGTACAGTTTTAATTATACCCTTATTAAAGCATCTGTTTGTGCAGTGGCAGACATTTCTGATTTTCAATCTGACCTTTCCCCTGTATTTACTACAAGCTACAATTAAATGTACTGTTAACAAATATTTTACCATAACACACGGTACATAGTCAGGATTGACACCTACTGAATGTACTCTTCTTATACAGTATACACACCATATATTGCATCAAATCATGAGAAAATGGTCAAATTTGAACATCATTGGGGGAGGGGGGGAGGAATATAGATCGGTTGTAGTAGTACAAACAAAAGGAGCATGCAGATGCAGCTATTCAAAAGGAGCGGAGTACGCTGCGGTACAAAGGGTTGGGCATGTTGCATCTAAACGCATCATGTCATACTGTGCTTTGCCATATTCAAATGAGATTATATTAATGGTATCCGGAAGCACCTTGTAAAACCACCAGGTGGAGATAATAAAGCTTAACCTCTCATGTACAGCATTTGAGCTGTCACCAGAAAACACCCCGTTTCGAATCACGATCACTGCTGAGGGACAAGCTTTATTCAATTAATAATTTAAGTTGTTTACTCGTTAGACTTTTAAATTTAAACTGTGTATTAGAGAATGTTAATTATTATACATTAAAAAGTTGGTATATTTTATGAAAGCAAGATTGCTCAGTTGGACAAAAGTACACAACCTAGCACCTTAATATTTTAATTATGCAGAAATGTTTTATGCATCAAAGTCTTTATCGAAGATATTTCTAATAGTATTAATAATGAATGACCTTGGACAAGCTGTAAACTCAAAGTATTACCCTGGTCCACATTCTTTGTAATCGTCTTTATAAACGAAAATACTTTATTTTTTCATTGACAAAAAGTAACACCACAGCATTTTGTTGATCCGATCACATATTCGTTTCCAATCATACAAAGTAAGTCTTGAGAATCTCTGATTCACCATGCCTTTCACATGCTCATAAATGATATTAATTTAAGAACATAAACATATTACGTAAACTGTACTGTATATGGCTGGTCTTGGTAGTTTAAAGAAAAAATACACACCAGTATTCCATTTCTACCTAAACATTTTAAGCATCAAAGTCTTAAATGTGGTTATTTCAGAAACATTTTTACGTGCTCCTTCTGACCATATTACTGTACGTTTATATACATTGTGAAAATTGATCATTTTAACCATTTCTGCGAATACGCTCGTTATTGGAGTAAACAAAAGCATACTTTTAGAATTGGATTAATAGAGAATATAATATGGAATCGAGTATCTAAATAAATTAATTACGATGTAATTATATTCATGTACTGTTGCACAAACAGTAGTATAAGACTTTCCATTGATACTGTATGTGTATTGCTGTTTCAGTGCTTGTCACGTGACTGCATCGGTGGCGTGATGGCTTAAGTGACAGCGGTACCGCCAGGTGTAGGGCGCAAACCCGCATCAGCCCGAAAGCCCTACATTAATGTTCGTATTTGCCTGGCGCTGCGGCCAAGGAGCGCCTGGCTGGGGCCCGCTCTCTCTCTCTCTCTCTCTCTCTCTCTCCACAAAGTCTGAGTCTCTGTGTCTACATTGTTTGTAAACAAACCGGTTTCACAGGTATTTTCTCAGCTTCTTCATTTTCAAAGTAGAGTAGGGCAAGTCTTCCAGTGAGAGACAGTCCACCTTCCCCCCTACGGACAGACTGTCAAATGTTTTCTTAGAAAAACAGATTCATAACGCAGAGCTGTGTCAGTCTTCTGTGTAAAAAAATCGATTTGAACACTATGGGTGCTGTTTTTAATAAGCTGCTGATTAAAGAATAGGAATTTTCCTGCTGTCAGCAGTATTGTGTATATAGTTTTATGTAGTAGTTCAGGTAGGTAGCTGCGTCAGCATGCGTAGGCTGTAAAGGAACAAGTAATAGGTTTATTCCATGCTGAAAAAAAGAAGAAAGAAAACACACGTTTTCTTTCTTCTTTTTTTCAGCATGGAATAAACCTATTACTTGTTCCATATAGTTTTATGTACAGGCTGCGAAAAGTTTCACAGGTAGAGGTCTTTTAAAATTAGGCTGGGCAAACGTTTTTTTAATTCTTAAATAAATCCAGAATGAGATATAATGATGTGTCCCTGCTTCGACATTGCACGACTTTAAAAGCTATAAAAATGGGTTTCAATAGTTAATAACCACTTTTTATGCGCGAAAAAGGGTGATTTTTCTTTCTCGTGATCAGCTTAGAATCTCTGTGTATGCTGTAAGGTTTTTACTTCTTAATTAAATGTTTAAAATACACGAATTTCATAAAAACAACACATGTTTCGAATAGAAAAAAATCATATTCTGTTGTCTTCCTGGTATGTAGAACAGATCAGCAGGTTTTTTTTCCCCAATCAGAGGCTCTGAAAACAGCGTGCCGCCCACTGCGCTGTGTCAGAGGGGGAGGCAGGACCGAGAGAGGGAGGAAGCGCGGAGCTCAGTATTGCACAATGGCCGTAAAGCACCAATTGCGTCTGCATTCATAACTTAGTGTTTAAAATTAAACGCAACTCATTTTCTTTGACTTCCAAGTCCCTTGGTTTTCATTAAGCACAGGTTTCTCACCTTTCGGTTTTGATACCATTGTTAGACCAAACAGGAACTTCTATTGTACTTTCTAATGACATTCCAGGTGGAAAGATTACAGATTTTAATCGTCTTTAATTTTCTTATACATTTTAGAAAACTTTAATCTATACATACACCACAAAACTATTCTCGATTGTATTTCTGAATGCTATGTTACACTTAGTTCATTGTTTTAAATACATCTAATTAAGAAAGTTAGGTGTTAGCATAAACTATTAGTAATCAATAATATTAAATTTAGCATTGTAATACATTGTTGCACTTTTCCCCACATCTTAAATCTATCAGAAAATAAGTTAAGTACACAACTAAAGAAAAAATAGGGGAAAATATCTTTCATAATATTTTCCTAACAATGTTAACTGTTTATAAAAATAAAATATATTAACTAAGGAATCGGATGGCACAGTTGTTAGTATGCTTTTTGTATGTTTTTTTTTTTTCATAAATACAACAGTAGTACCAGATGTCTCAGTGGCTTTCATAATTAAATTATGCACTCAAACCTCTGAACTAGAAAGATAAGAGATCCATCCATTTCTAATGGTGGTGAAATTGTTAGCATTGCTATCTTGCAGCACTGGGGCCCTAGGTTCAATTCCTGCCATCTTGTGTGTGTGGAGTGTGCATGTTCTTTCTGGGTTCTGTGGTTTTTCTCCTCATGTGTGATAAGATTCCTTCT